TTTTTAAAATACCTGAAAATTTTTACTTTGCTTTACATTGTTTACAAAACATATGTTCACACAATGAGACATCATCCTATTACCTCTACAAAATTACATTTGTGTTTTATAGATAACAAATCTCAATCAGATAATCTGAGCTAAAGTCATCTTAACAAAAGGAAAAGTGGTCTAGCAATCTAGGTAACCAAATCCACAGAAAAATGTCTTACTTACAGTTCCGAAGTTTCAATATATTTTGCAGTTCCTTCAATAGTGTTACAATATTCTGTGGCAAATTTGGTAATAAGCTGGAGTAAAGTAGCACTTTTATCATCCACAGGTTCACCGTAGCTATTTAGAAGAGACTGATACTGAGCAGCTAGAACATTTATTCTTGTTTTCAACTCTGGTAAGCAGTCTCTGATGTGATGCATCAGTAACCTAAAAAAGGTTAGAAAGGAAGGATTTAAAAGTAAAATTGTATATTCTGAAGCCCCAAATAAGTCAAATTTTTAAAAAGGAAATAATGGGGAAAACCTGTCAGATAATTTGTATTGGCAAGTGTGATACTGTGAAATATGTATTTGGTCTTTGTCTCCATTTCCTGGCAGTTGGATCCTAAAATCCTTGGAGTCTCCATGAGCCTAAGAGTGTTTAAAGTGTCTTTGCATGATAATAAGATGACTGGTGGCTGAGGGTCCCTTGACAGCTTCAGGATGGTGCCTGGTCACCAGAAAGGCTAAGGCATGATTAGAGGGCTGGGGGTTTCAACCCCCTTCTCCAGCCTCAGAAGAGGGGAGACAGGCCACAGGTTGAGCTGATCACCAATGGCCAATGATGCTTCCATAAAAACTCAAAACGACACAGTTCATGGAGTCTTCGGAGAGTTGAACACAAGAAGGTTCCTGGAATGTGGGAGCACAGAAGCTCCACATTCCGTCCTACATGCCCAGCCCCATGCATCTCTTCATCTGGCTGTTTTATCTATATCTTTTGTAATATGCTTCATAATAAGTGGGTAAATGTTAACTAGTTGTTTCCTTGACTTATATGAGCCACTCTAACAAATTAATCAAACATGAAAAGGGGGTCATGGGTACCCTGACTTATAGCCCATCAGTCAAAACAGGCTACAACCTGGCTTAAAATTATCATCTGACTTCGGGGCAGTCTTGTGAGACTGACCCCTCAACCTGTGGGAGCTGATGCTGTCTCCAGGTAAATAAGTGTTAGCACTGAATTAAAGTACATCCCGTTAGAATCCCCTAGAGAATTCCTTGCTTGCTGCATGGGGGAAACTCCCCATGTATCTGATGTTAGAAGCATTCTGTGCCATACTGATTAAGTGTATATGATGGGAAAAAAACACTTTGGTTTTTCCTAAATCATAAAAGCAAGGAAAAAATGCAAATTATTTTCATATTACTGCAATTACCATAGAGGAAGCAAATCACTCAATCAATTCTTCCTATATAATTTTGGTTTCACTGACTTGTCATTTACAGTTGGTACCCAGCAAAGTGAAAATCAATCTTATTAAGATCCAAGTCTATCAGTCTTTAGGGAATAAGATAAAAGTAAGAGAAAATGGCTTCCACTTTAGTCATTTATAAATCATTTAGAAAGGTCTTCTAGTTCCCCCCACCATGAGTGGGTATTCAGAATCCAACGTATACAACTTAAGTTATTTCTACAATAAATAGGAAAAAAAGACATTCTATTTCTTTCTTTGTTTTTCCATCTCCCTTTTCTGGCAAATAGAAGACATTCTAAATTAAGAACAGATAACGTGAAAATTATAAATTTTAATGCAGTTCCTGCAATGCAAAGCGGAAGTAAAGTCATCTCTAGTTCTATCCTCAAAACCAAACTGACTGTCAAATTTTCATAATTAAATCGTTTTAAAATCACTTGAACATTCATTCTAGACTACATGACGACATAATGTCAACCACCCCAATAAAAATAGAGACATCTATTC